TAAGAAATGAATAAATTGAATAATAAAAAAATAGTTTTGAGTTTAAACAAAATAAACCCGAGATTTTTATAGACAATTATTATAAATAAATATTAACAAAAAAAAATATATACATGCAATTTGTATGAGTGTCAAATTAATATAAAAAATTATATGTTCAGATAAAATGTCCGATTAAATAAGAAAAACAAACATTTCATGCCTAGCTACTTGATTGGTCTTATAGATTTAATACAGTATAAAAATAATGAATGTATATAATATATTCCCTTCGTCCTATTGAAAGGTCATAATTTTTCATTTTCGTTCGTCCCAAAATAAGTTTACCATTTCCTAAATTTAGTAATTGTACTATCCAATTCACATAATAAATACCATTTCAACTTACAATATATTACACAAATATCATTATTTTTATATTACACCATACTAATAGGGGTATTTTTGTCTTTTTTACTACAATATAATATAATACTAATATTAAAAAATCTACATGCAAAAAGCAAACGTCAACCTTCCAACGGGACTGAGGAAATATTACTTTTTTAAGAAACATGTGTTTTTCTTCCCAAAAAGAATACACTTATCGTGTCTGAATTGGTATAATTTATTTGTGAATATTCATCATAATTGAAATTATAGTACTTTCTAAATTCCATAACAATTTGACATTTTTTTTAATGTCACATAATAATTTATACATTTTTATTTTGGATAAAATTTACTAAATTAAAACATAATTAATAAATATAAATCAATTTAATTAACTATTGTACACTCCAAAATTCAACCATAAGGCCCAATTCATATTAGGAGCCCGACCTAGAGAGAAATACGGCCCACAAGAAGGCCCAAATCAGTGAGATACTTGGTTAAATGGGTAACTGGATAAAACATAATTTGAAAGTGAAAAGGATTTGGGGGAGGTTGGAGAAAAATAACGGAGTAAACCTTATCCGAACAAGGTTTAGAGAATAAAAGAAAAAAGAAGACGTCGTGATAGGGCATCTCATCTTCTTCAACATTAATTTTTTCTTTGCAATTTAATTTCCGTAGTATTTTTCAGAATTTTTACAGCTTTCTTCGATTAATTTCAATTTAATTTTCAGTTTCGTTCTTGTTCAATTTACCTTCTTTTTTCGTTAATTACTCGGATATCGCGAGATAGCCCGGATCATTTCTTGAGGAGGCCGGGAACCCTTCGAACAAATCAATTCCGACAGGCTTTTCCGATTAAGCCGTCGGTGGCGATTTTTTGACGACAACAACTATGTAACATATAATATCATACATTATGTAGGACCTACTCAAAACTTATTTATTTATATCTCTCCTAAAAAAATATTTTATATGCATTTAAGATTCAATATATTTTATAAAATTAGCTTATATTAATTATAAATAAATAAAAATATATTTTTTTTATTTACTTCTATTATAGAAAATTTCATTTTTTACAAAATGATACTCATATTGCATATATATTTTTATTGCATTATATATACAACCATGTTGTGTATAATGAAGGTATATGCTGCTTTTTAATAATAACAAGTTTGTTGCATAAAAGTATGTCATGTGCTAAAATCAACTGTTGTTGTGTGTTGTATGAGACTATAATATGTATTGTATTTGTATTATATTAACATATACAATATGATATCTGTAGTAATATTATTTGTTATTGAGACTATAACATTTTTTTTATGACGTGGGAACCCGCTACCCGAAAATATGTATTTTTTATTCATGTGTTGTATTTGTATCATATTAACATATATAATGTATTATTTGTAATAATATTATATGTTGTTAAATAGCACCGACCACGATGTGCTGTTCAGCCGTAGCTGCCACCTTTTTAATTACATAAATTAATAAAATAATATCATAGTTCATTTTATAAAATGAAATGAAAGTAATAGATTATTCTATAACTATAAATAAAACAGCTATAAGGGTGTGTTCGTTTGCAAGATTTTGCAAAATTCTTACTATTCATCCAATTTTTTTTCCCCAAAAACATCAAATCAAACACCTATTTTTCATTTTTTATATTATACTAAAAATTAATTTTACATTCAAAACATCACATCAACCCCTATTTATATCATATCATACAACTATTCAAATTCAAAATTTTTACTATTCAAATCCGAACTCAAAATCCAAACCCCCAAACAAACACACCCTTACTAGAAAACTATCACTAAATTTGACTATATAAAAAAAAAAAAAAATATATATATATATATAATAATAATAATAATAATAATAATAATGGTAAAACTATATACTCCCTCCGTCCCAATCATCGTGCAACATTTGTGTTTGAAACGAGAATTTAGATGGGGAGTATTAAAAATGGTAATTTGAGATAATTTGGATATTAAGTGATGTGATTGGAGAGATAAATGATTATTTGTTTATGATTATTTGTTTTTTTTTGTTTGAGTAATGTGATGTGATAAAGTGAAAGTATATATTAATTGATGTATAAAATATTATTAATTATTTCTAACTCTGGAAATGTTGCAGTGAGTTTGGGACAAATAAAAAAAATATTACATGATGTTTGGGACGGAGGGAGTATTACAATATTGTGTTTCAATAAAAGTGAACAATTTTTATTTGTTAAATTAAAATATGTACAAAATATTTTTTTTTTTGTTTAAAACTCATTTTTGATTATAAATATGTACTTAGTTATACAAATTTTATACAAATAAAATATGTAAAAATATCTTTAATCGCTAGTATAAATAAATAAATAAATAATTGATCAATCATTTATTTTATATATATATAAATATATATTTTGTTTTGTTTTGTAAAAGTTAAGTAACAGTTTTTTAAAAAAACTATTAAATGAATGATTGATAAATTAATAAATTATTTACTATTTTATTCAAAATCAGTGTTAAAGATATTTTACTTTTTTTTATTTGTATAAAATTTGCATAATTAGATTTGCATAACATGTTTTTATTTTTATAGTAAATTTATTTATTTTAAATATATTTAATAAATATAAATCAATTTAATTAAATTTTTAATATCTTATACGCAGACTTATTAAAAATCTTTTTATTTCGATTTCTTTTCAATAAATAAATATTTTTATTTATATTTAAAATTTCTTATCTATTATAAAACTAGTTTAAGTTAATAATAAATAAATAAAATATATTTTGTATTATATCTAATTTTATTATTTACGAAATAATATTCATATTATACATATTTTATTGAAATATAATGCTAAAAATATTTAAACACATATTCTAACTTTCTTTTAATCACATATATTAATTTATATTTTTAAAATATCAATAAGAGTACTACTTATATAAAAAAAGACACAAATAAATCATAATTTACTAATTTATATTACCTAAATAATAGTATCGGTAACAAATGAATCAACTGTTCTAGGACATCTTTTTAGTGCTAATAAATAATCCTAAATTTTTACCAGTTGAAATTCATATATGAATATCACAAAAAATAAAAATTAAAATAAGACAACTAAAACTATCATACGACCATACATGTGATTTTATAGTAAATCAAAATAAATATTACTTCCTTCATCTCAACTAATTTTTCCATTTTAGCTGACACGAAATTTTAGCTATTGTATAATTAGTAAAATAATTTAAAAATATATTAATAAAAATAATTATGATATACTAAAAATAATTATAAATTAAGATTAAAATGCCTAAAAAGTTTAATTAAAATTAAAAAAATTATAAATTATGAATTTTTAAAATAAGATTAAAGTGTATAATTATATTTTAAAAAAATCATATAGGACGGACGAAAAAAAAAAATAGACAAATTACGTAGAATGGAAAGAATATCTTATATCTCCTACAAAAAGAAAATATTTCAAATTAAAATATTAAACAAACACACCTTTAATGTTATTTATTCCCTATAAAAAACAAGTATTTCTTTCATGTAGTTTTAGAAATATTAGTATTATATTTGGATTTAATAGGAATAAAGTAGAAATGACTAAAATAACTTTATTAGTATGTGCGATATAAAAGTAATGACATTTGTGTAATATATTGTAAGTTGTAAGCGTATTTGTAATGTTAGGTAGATAGTACATTTACTAAAAAAAAAAATAAAAATGAATACTTTGTTATGGTACAGATTAAAATGGAAAAATTGATACTTTGTTATGAGACGACCTTAAATGAAAAAATAGATATTTTGTTGTGGGACGGATGATGATGGAGTATTTAATTTAGAGTGAGTATAAAGTATAATATAAAAGACTTAAATTACCTTTACTTTTTGCAGGATTTAAAAAACCAAGTTACAGTCATAATTAGGGGTAATGGTAGAAAAGTACGAATAACTTTATTGTAAAATGAGACCACAATTACTAAATAAATAAACAAAGACAATTGTAACGGACCAAAATAGAAAAATAAAATTTTGATTGGACATGAAAATTAAATATATATATATATATATATATTGAAATTGATGCGTACAAAAGTAAAATAAAATATTATAAAAATTTTATTTAAAAATTGATAGGTAAAAAAATTAAAAGAATTAATTACTATTATTTATTAAAATAAAAATAATAAAATTATAAATAAAAAAATTATTTATTATATATAAATATAATAATCCTTCGTCCCATATTTATATATCCATCTAAATTTTTTATAAAATTTTAAAAATATTAGTATAATAATAATAAAAAAAAAAAACACTCATTTTTGTTGAGCAAGTATATTTTAATAATAATAATAAAAGAAAAGAAAGTATATTTTAATAAACTGTAAGTTCATACTATGCAATTTAACGAATCTTAGGACCTGAATTGGAATTTTAGTATTTTATCCCAGTTGGCCGATCACATACAAGCATTAGCAGCAATTTCGTCGTGGTCCCCGAGCCGGGGGGACAAATTGCAAATAAATAATAATAATCGGTAAATTTCAGGAGATGTTTCTTAATAAAATCGAAAGATACGCGCCGGCACGCCATCCCTTTCCCAATCGCTATATAAATATCCCGAATTGTGTCTTCCATTCCCATTCCCTGACAGCTGGTTGCGACGACCTCAGTGGATTCCAATTCTGCAAGTCCAATCCGCCCATTCGATTTCAGTTTCGCTGTGAGTTTCTCCCCGTTTTGATTCACAAAGTTGTTATTACGCTCTGCTGGTTGTGAAAATTTGTAGGATTTGATTTGTTTGCGCGAGAGCGTCGTCGTATGAATTCGATTAGCTGTTTGCGTGGTTGCGTTCTGGATTTTTTGGTCGATTTTGACTTTTGTTTGGGGTTTTTATTGTGGATGTGTTTTTGGTTTCTTATTCGAGTAGATTAAATTTTGCACTGAATTTACAAGTTTTCCTGGCTAGAGTAATGAGAATTTTCGATTTTAATCATACTATGATAACAGTGATGCTAATTAGTTCAAGGTGCTTGTTGTTTGTTTGGATAATGAACATTACTAATGCTCTGGAATTTAGTATTTCAACTGCAAATCGTACATATCATCAAAATAAGTCAAAAATTCTATAAACCTCTCAAATAAGGCTAATACAGTTTTTTTGTTTTGGTTTTAGTTTGAGTTTAAATTTTTTATTTAAGGTTTTTTTTTTTTTTTTTAAATGTATTTTGATGCAATGTTTTGTGATAAAAGATATTATATTTTTGCTGTAATGTTTTTAACAAAAAAACAAGTGTCAGATGAGATATTTTTAGGAGATGTGATTTTGATGAATAGTGCCGAAACAAACTTGAAAACATGAGTATACTAGAGCCGACGAATCAGAATCAGAGGAATAAATCTGAATTTCGATAGCTGGGGATTAGAGGAGCAGTAGATCATAGGTGATTGTGTTTGTAAAAGAGGATGATTTTTGAGCAATTGTATGTTTGATCAAGATGGATCATAACTTCGATAAAGCTAAAATAGAGGAAAATTTCAAGGCCGAGAATAAGAGATTCCAAATTACCATATAATAGATATTTATCTACGAAATTTTCGTAGGATATGGGAAATTTATTGGGCTGTGTTCAAGTGGACCAATCCACTGTTGCCATTAAGGAGCGATTCGGAAAATTCACGGATGTCTTAGAGCCCGGCTGCCATTGTTTACCTTGGTGTCTCGGAAGCCAGCTGGCCGGCCATCTCTCGCTCCGCCTGCAGCAGTTAGATGTTCGTTGCGAGACCAAGACAAAGGTTTGTTTCTTCCAAAAATTGGATCGCTGTTCTTTTTGAAATGTTTGCATATGCTCATTAATGATGCTAATTGTTGTCGTTAAAAATTTGGCCTTCAGGACAATGTGTTCGTCAATGTTGTTGCTTCGGTGCAGTACCGTGCCCTTGCTGATAAAGCGAGCGACGCTTTTTACAAACTTAGCAACACTAGAACCCAAATTCAGGCCTATGTCTTCGATGGTATGTACATTTCTTTTAGGCAAAATTGTCCATATATTTCTTGTGGTTACGAAACTCAGTGTAAATCTCCCATTTACTTTAAAAATTGTATACCGTCCTCTTATATTTTAAAAAATGTTGCATGAAAGCCTCTGTGATTTCAAAACTTAGCAAAAATCCCCACTTTATTTTAATAATTGCATAGCGCCCTCTCATACTTTAAAAATATTTTAAAAATTGCATAGCGCCCTTATACTTTAATGATGCAACATTTTTTAAAATATAAGGGACGCCATGCAATTTTAAAGTATAGAAAGATTTTTTTACGTTGAATTTCAAAATCACAGTGAAATTATTAACAATTTTACCTTTCTTTTATTTATGCCTTTAAAATTGTTTGTCGTGCGAATATTTATGTCTGATTTGACCTTTTTATGCAGTGATAAGAGCCAGCGTTCCGAAACTCAACCTTGATGATGCTTTTGAGCAGAAGAATGAAATTGCTAAGGCTGTCGAGGACGAACTTGAGAAGGTAAACTGATTCTTAAAAGTTATAGAATGAAATGTTTGAACTTACTAATTAAACATCTGGCGACCCTTTCCCAATATGCATTTGTAGGCCATGTCGGCTTATGGATACGAAATTGTTCAGACACTGATTGTTGACATAGAACCAGACGAACATGTCAAGAGGGCGATGAATGAAATTAATGCTGGTATGCTGAAATTAACTTCAAATCTCGATCCGGGTTTTAAAACTAAACCTAAAAATTTAGGAATTTATGCAAATTCCCCTCAAGCTCTTTTGTGTGCTTATTTATGTTTTCAAATGTCACACCTTGTCAAGATATCTTAGTGATTTAGTTTATAGTTTAGATTAAATTTCTATTATCTAGATTATGTCTGTTATTATTTGGATATATCAATTAGATTAGATTGTTATTATTGGAGTCTATCGAGTCAAATTTCATACTTATTTGGCAAAATTGCTCATAACTCTCACGTAGTTTTGAAATTTAACGTAAATTCTCCAGCACTTTCAAAATTGCATGACATTCCCTTATACTTTAAAAAATATTGCATGAATCCCCTTTTTACATTTTTTGTGCAACGAGAAGATTTTACATCTACATTTTTTGCATGGTGGGGTTCCATGCAACGTTTTTTAAAGTATAAGAGAGAATCATGCAATTTTTTTTAAAAAGAGAATTTACGCTGAGTTTCGAAACAACAGATGAGTTATAAACATCTTTGCTTACTTATTTCTAACTCTCTATTTTCATTATGAATACAATGCAAGTTTTTAGTCGTCTGCTTATGCAAATTCTTGAAAATTTTCAGCTGCAAGGCTGAGAGTGGCGGCTAATGAAAAAGCCGAGGCTGAAAAGATTTTACAAATCAAGAGAGCCGAGGGAGAAGCAGAGGCTAAACACCTCTCGGGCTTGGGCATTGCTCGTCAGCGTCAAGCAATTGTGGATGGATTGAGAGACAGCGTGCTCGGGTTTTCGGTTAATGTTCCGGGGACCACTGCAAAAGATGTCATGGATATGGTTCTCGTCACTCAATACTTCGACACAATGAAAGAGATCGGGGCCTCTTCCAAGTCTTCTTCTGTCTTCATCCCTCATGGCCCCGGCGCTGTCCGCGATGTCGCCAGTCAGATCCGCGACGGACTTCTCCAGGCTTCCCAGCATTGATTGCTCCTGTTGTTTCACTCTCCTCCGGTTGGAATAAGGTGTGTCTATACTTTTGATATTTCTTTGTGTTCTTCGATTCTGCCGAGTGATATATATACATGTGTGTAAAATATATAGATTATTTTGTTGTGCTGTTGAAGAAATCTTGTGAAATATATTGCTATGTTTGTCGAAAAACTGTACATTGTTTCTCAATTGTTGTGAAAATGTTTTTTTTTTCGAGATTTTTTTGAATATTTGGAATGTTTGTTGTATACAAGTCGAAGTTATTACGTTTGTTTTTATCGATTATTATTGTCTCTGTCTCGTTGCCTGCTATTTATTTTTTGATGCCTTTATTTTCTTCAACCTTTACATGGTTCTTGTATTTCCTTGGGTAGACACATTTCTGCAGATATATCGTTAAGATTATGAGTGTCAAAAGTAAACCGGACCCGAAAAATCGAACTCGTTCGACTTGAAAATTTTTCAGGTTCGGGTTTGGGTATTTCGGGTTTGAAACAAATCGAGTCAATCCGAACCCGAAACGAAAAAAATTCGTATCGTCTTCGGGTCGTATTTCGGGTTGACCTGATAACCTGAAATATAAAAATTAAGTCAGGTTTTGGGTTTCGGGTTGACCTGAAATTTTTATTATTATTATTTTAATTTATAATATTTATATTATTTTAAATATAAAATAATATAAAAATAAAAATAAAAATGATATTTTTTAGGTCAATTTAATTTTTTTTTAAATTTTCGGGTATGTTTCGTGTCGGGTTCATATCGAATTTGTTCGGATTTCGGGTGACCTGAAACTAATTCAAGTCAATCTGAACCCGACCAGAAAGAATTCGTGTTCGAATTTAGGGTTTCAGTCAGACTTCGGGTTCGAGTCGGGTTTGGATTGACAATTTTGTTATTGACACGAATGCTACCCAAAAACAGGAATTGACACCTCTAGTCAAGACACTAAAAAAATAAATTTTGTCACCGAAATTTGCAATGGAATCTTAATTTGTTGCTATTTGTGGTAGAATTCTCGATGGAATGAAGAGGCGGATAATAAGATTGAAATTAGGGACGGAATTTATGTACTAATCAATTCCGCCTCCTCCAGGGGTTTGTTTGGTTATGTTTTTTTATATTAATTTAAAATGAAATATTAGATTTAAATTTTTATTTAAATTGTATTTTGATATTATAATATTTTGTAAGAGAAAATAAAAGTATTTTTAAAAATTCATGCTAGAAAGAATAATAAAATATGTTTAGACTTGGAATATCATCTATATATATATATATATATATTTTTTTTAAAAAAAAAAAAAGAAAAAATAGAATCCTTTTGATTGACTTAAAAAATAAACACAAATCAAAAGTAGAAACAAAAACAATTTGATTTTGTGTTTGGATGAATTAATTTTTATAAACCTCTGTATAATTTTATCTATATTTAAAACTTTTTAATTTATAAAATTAATTTTAAGTTAATTATAAATAAATAAATATAATTTGTATTTGATTTATATAATTTTCATTATCTACAAAATTATATATATTACATATATTTTATTGAGATATAAATTTTAAAATATTTAAAATACTAAAAACTCATATCATATAACTTATTAATAAATTACTACGTGAAATATATCCCTAACCAAAAGGTTCATCAGATAGAGCTACTATTATATTAAGATTTAATTTTACATTCAAAATATCACATTAATACTTATTTATATAACTATTTTAATTTAAAATTTTTACTTTTTAAAACTCAAAATTCAAACTCCAAAAAAACATACTCCAAATCGATTTCCTAAGCAGAAATTCCCATAAACTTCTTCATCCTCACAATCCCATTCCCAGAGACATTGGGAGTTCAAACAAGCTCAATCCCTTTAACTAAAACTCAAATCAAAACGATATCGACAAAGTATAAACCTTGCGAGTCCGTGTAGGAGCAGACGAGCAATGTTCTTGTTGCACCCGCAAGCTACAAACCTTTTTTATTTACGGCTGAAACAGGCGCCGGGGTCAGATGTTTCATCAATTTCGTGTACTGCAACAAAAAAAAGAAATAGAAGAAATTATCATTAACTTAACTTTGAAATAATCGATTAGTAATATAACTAGTTGAAGCACAAACCTGTGAAGTCTTGAGCTCAAGCTCCCGCCACTCCATGGAAGAATCGCTTCCTTCAACAATTCCGGTTCCGGCGTAGAGCAATGCTCCAATGTCTTTTCCGACCAAAGCTGATCTTATTCCCACAGCAAATTCACTCTCAGAACCACCAAAGTATCCAACTGGCCCAGCATACATTCCTCGATCAAACATCTCTGCATTCCATTACAATTTTTGATTAATTAATTTGAAAATCGTAATATTGTTTGATTTATTGTATGTAGGAAGTCGTAAGTTTGTTGTTATTGTAATATAATTACCTGTATCTGCGATCAGTTGTCGAGCGTCTTCTGCAGGAAGGCCACAGACAGCTGGAGTTGGGTGAAGAGAAGACAGTACTCTAAACTGCAAAATGATCGAAGTAAGTTTAATATCTTAAAATGACATTTTCTATGGTTTGGGGCTTTTGTGTGTTTGGTTGGAGGATGTTACCCGGATGTTATTATTCATTAATTCCCCCCTCCCCCAAAAAAATCAGTTTATATTTAAAATATCGCATCAATATATTTATATTATATTCCCTCTGTCCCAAACACTTTGCAACATTTTTTTTTTGGTATGTCCAAACACCCTGCAACATTTCCAAAATAGGAAATAATTAACTATACTTAATCTCTACTTCACACTTTATCCCCTCACATCATCCAAATAAAAAAATAAAATATATATTTCTCTCTCCATCACATCACCTAATTTCTAAATTATCCTACTTAATACTACTCACCTAAAAATCCGTGCCAAAAGCAAATGTTGCACCTTGTTTGGGACGGAAGGAGTATCATATAATTATTTAAATTCAATTTTTTTACTATTAAAAAACCTAAACCCAAATTCCAAACTCTCAACCAAACACAACAGCGAACACTAAATTTTTACATGATTCCTGATTAATATTACAAAATAATACAATACATACACACTAATATTAATACTGAAACTTTCCAAAAAATCAAAAAAAAAAAAATTCAACTCAAAATAAGTCGCACGTTCTTTTTATATCACCTATATACTTTTCCAAAGTAAAAAATTCAACTCAAGCTATAGTTTATTATATTATCAACAAGCATCTCCACACCTAACAAGAATAAAGCAGTTGAACATAAAAATTAAAAAATTAAAAAAAACCATAAGTGAACATATTTTTTTGCAATTTTTCTTATTTTGGGCTTTATTTATTTATTATTTTGGAATTTTAGAGTTTCTAAGTCTATAAATATAGTTCATTGTTTCTCTTTGATTTCATATTTCGTTTTCATTAATAAAATTACATTCAAGCTTGATTGAAATATTTTCTCTTGTTTGACTATCTTAATTCAAACAATGGACACTGTTATCTATGTTGATATGGAGAATACAGATAATTATATATGTGTATGTATACATACCTCGTCGTCTTCTTGCTTGAGTGTGCCGGTGAGCTTAGCATAAAGATGCTGAACACGTGGAAGTTTCCGGAGAGATTTGCTTGGTTCCACTATTGTTCGGGAGCATATCTCCTCGAACTTTCTCCTTATATTTTCTCTTACCACCGTGAACTCCAAGTGGTCTTTCTTACTGCAAATCAATTCAAGAAATCACTACAACTTTGAGCATCGATACAAGAAGATTAATTGTCTGATGATCAGATTATAGACGATGTTAGAAAATCAAATACCTTGTAAGCAAATCATATCCAATCTTTAAATCTAAAGCCTCAGTCGCACCCCTTCTTCGTGTAGCAGCCAAAGCCTCACTAGACACACTCAATTCATCCCTATGGAATAATCTCTCCGGCTATTCAAAATAAATCAGTCTTTCATTATATTGAACCGTGTCGATATTACTTATTTATGCATATAGTGAGTTCTTACAGTGTTGCCAATGAATGCAGCCGAATCGGGAGGTTGAAAACAAAACTGATAAGCTTTATCCCCTTCAGCCTTGAGGCTCCTTAACCACTCCAAAGGATCGATCTCTGCTGTCGTCAAAACTCTGCTGCTCCGCGCAAGAACGACCTTTAATAAAGGCGTATCTTTCCTAGTTATCAGCTCCAAAGCATTTCTAATGGCTGAATCCCAAGAGACTCTGTTTGGGACATGAATTTGGTTAACCAAAACTGCATCAGTACTAGTTTTGCCATTCAATTTCTTCCTTACAACTGATGAAATCTGCAAAAGTGTGTCCTCAAGAACACCAATTGCCTGCTCATATGTGTGTAACAAGTGATTGTCCCACGCGATGGTCGCTGCCATCATAGAGCTCCCCTCAAATTCATCAAATTCAACCTTAAATCAAATCATATTGTGAATTAATTTTGCATTTTCCCCAATTTGAAGGCAGGAATAATTATAGAAAACAAATTAATTTAAAATTTGGTACCTGAGGGATCATGAAGTAGAAAGAACCAAATCCCTTCCATTCGGGAGAGATGGTAGAGGTACCATCGAATCTGATTGCGCCATAAGCACGAATCAATGGAGAATTCTTCGATAGAAACCTACGGAAATCAAATATAATGTAACTGGGATTCGATTGCAGTGAACCTTCTCATCATCATCAAATTTAAACCCTAATTGCTTCAACCCTATCCGAAAATACACGAAACCCTAATAATGGAAACCTTTTGATGGAATGCCAATCCTGGAGAGAGAAGGGGCGGAGATGGCGGAAGGAGACGGCTGATCCCAGCCCTGCAACACTGACGAGCTTTCTGCGCTCTGTAATTTCATTCTCACCGGAGCAGTGCTTGAGTGGAATGTTGCTTGGTTCGCGGCCGGAGAAGTAACAGCGTGGCAGAACGGTGTCGTTTTGGGAACGAAGCCAATCGAGTGACTCTATATGCTGCCGTATTGGAACCTGTATAAAGACTAATCTCAGTAAATAATTGTACGTGTGATTCAAAATATTTATTTTTTTTAAGAAAAAAAAAAGTAATACTCTCTAGCTCTCGTCGAAAAGTTATTATTTTTTATTTTTTTTTAAAAAAATAAAGTTATTATTTTTTAATTTAGTAATATAATAATACCCTTTCAATTTACAATATATTACACAAATACAATTACTTTTATATTATATCATATTAATAGAGATATTTTTGTTTTTTTTTTTTTACTATAATTCAATATAATACTAATATTAAAAAATCTATGTGCAACATTAATAACAAAATACTCACTCGCCTCTAGGGTAATATTTATTTTTTTGTATAAATGTTCTTTTACTAGTATTATCATACACTAATGAAAATAATTTTGCAATATTTTTTTAATTTGTATTATATTTTGATATAATAATTAATATTCAAAGATGAACATTCAAAAATTAAATGAGACCATTAGATAATATTATTTAATTTTTATTTAAATTAAAAAATATTATTACACATACAATTATTAATTATTTATTAATTATATTAGAATATTTTATTATATTATACTTTTACTTTTTTATAAATTTAAAATAATTAATTTATATATATAAATTATTTTAATTGTAAAATATATAAATTTATTAAAATCAATATAAAATAAAAAATATTAATATTAATAATTTATTTTTATATTAAAATTATAATATATAAATTTTATATTAGAAATAAATTAAATTTATTGAAAATTCTAAATATAATGAACTAATCGATAATTAACATAATAAATATATATACGAAAAATTTATTATTTTATATTTTATATTATTTTCAGTAGATAAAATTATTTATATTTTTCAATAAAAAATATTATTTTTTAAATCTAATTATAATAAAAATAAATACTATTTTATAACACTTTTACAATTTTCAATAACTAATAACAAAAAATTTCAAATATTTTAAATTCAAAAGAACACAATTGAATACATTAGAAAAAAATAAAATAAAAATGTCCTCGATTGTCATTTTATGTATAAACAGCTAATATCAAACAGTTATTTTATAATACAAACACGTTAATTGAATCAGCTAGTTAAATCAACTAATTGAATCAGCTAACTGCCCTTAATATTTGTATAATTTTTTGCACGAATATTATTATAATAGTATTATAAGACGCCAATAAAAGTATTTTTGTCATTCTTTTTCTTAATTTTTACTATATTTTAATATAATAATTAATATTTAAATATCAATATGCAAAAACAAATGAGATCCTTAGAGCCTGACGAAAACAGTATATTATAATATTTTGTAAAAAAAAATATTTTTTTCATTGAAAATAGTGTAAAATAATAATGACCAAACAAATTTACATGTATTTTTAATATTTTTTAAATAAAACAATTATAGGAAAAATAATATGTTTTTATTGGGATTGTAGAGTCCAATAATACAATTTTTTATTTTTTTTATTTTTTATTATTTTTTATCTTTTATTTTTTCTTATTTGAAATAAAAAAAAACAAATCATATATTTAAGGGTCTTTTCATTTGATAATGATGATTGATTATTGGTTATTACTATTAGGATTATTATCATTATTTGTTGGGATATTATATGAGAAAATTGAGATGAAAATAAATTTAAAAAGAAAGTGTATATATGAGAAAAATTGAATAATTATGAAAGTGTATTTTTAGGGAGATTTATGAATAAAAACAAAATTAAGAGAAAAAGAAATCTAATAAATTTATTAAATAATTATAAAAAAATAATGATTATATTTTTTCGACACACATTGAAAAAATACATAATGGCCAAAAGATTACGTTTAGATATATTTTTATTATACATATATATATATATATTAATATATGTTGTGCATTTTTGTTTTTATATATGTGATTTTTCAAGGATTAGGTATAGTTGTTTTGTTTATTAGTGTAATTGAATTTTTAAATAAAAACCTGTGTGTTTTTATTATGTTATATATGTAATTTATTTTTATGTAATGTGTGATATTTATCTATTTATATGAAATATGTTTATTATTATTTTAAAAATTATTAAATAATTATAAAAATATAATAATTATATTTAACTGAAATATTGAAAAAATGCAGTCCGGCCAATAGATTACTCCTAGGGTGTGTTTGTTTGGGGGTTTGGATTTTGAGTTAGAGATTTGAATAGTAAAACTTTTGAATTGATATAAATAGGTGATAATGTGATGTTTTGAATGTAAAATTGATTTTTAGTATAATATAAAAAATGAAAAATGGGAGTTTGATTTAATGTTTTTGGGGAGAAAATTTTGGATGAATAGTAAGATTTTGTTAAAAACCTACAAATGAACACACCCTAAGAGTTTTTATTTTTTTATTTTATATATATATTTAATGTATTTATTGTGCATTATTGTTTTAATATTTGTGATTATTTGCCTGTGTTGTTGTTTTGTTTATATTATTCTATTAAAGATTTTATAGTATAGTTGTGTGTGCTATTATCATATTATATGCGCGATATTTTTCTATATAATATTTGCTATTTATATAAATTAATGCTATGTTATTAGTTTAATAAAATTATTAAATACTTCCTTCGTCCAGGTTAATTTGTCTCATTTAGATTATACACGGAGTTTTAAGTATTGTGTAATTAGTGAGTAATTAAAAAGTATATTAGTAAAAATAATTATAATTAATAAAAATAATTTTATATTAAGATTATTATGACTAAATAATTTAATTAAAATAAAAAATTATTAATTATCAATTTTAAAATGTGATTAGAATGTATAATTGTATTAAAAAAAAAGACAAATTAAATAAAATATAGAAAAATAAAAATAATAGAGAAATTAAGTGAGACGAATGAAATAATATTAATATATTACTTGAAAAATGTAATAATGACTTTATTCACACAGACAAAAACAACTGGATTTGTAAGGTCAGTGTCTTTGGTTATACCTCTTTAATTAATGATCACTGGTGAATTAAATTTTAATAAGACGAATTAGGACTAATCAGTATGGTACGGTCCTGTAACATATATACTCTCTCTGTCCACAAGAAAGATATACAATTACTTTTGGCGCGGTGTTTAAGAAATAATAGTATTTTAATTATAGTGGGTAGTTAAAAGTAGTGTAATGATATTTTTGCCTTTACTTTTTGGTATAAAAGTAATGATGTGATGTAAAGTAGGGGTATTTGTGGAAAAAAGTAAGGTATTTAATGAAATATTTACTTTGTAATTGGACGTTCGAAAATAGAAACATGTATACTTTCTAGCTGGACGAAGAGAGTATAATGTATCAGTGTGTTTATTTATTTATATATATATATTATTATTATTAGATAGGACAGTTATTAGGTAAGGAGATTAGTTGATCGGATCGATCCACACTCCAAATTAACTATTTTATCTGTCCACATAATTTGTCATTTCCTTTTTTTTTAAAATATAATTATAAACTTTAATTATATTTTATAATTTTTTTAATCTAAATTAAAATATTTAGTTATTTTAATCCTAATTTATAATTATTTTTATTCACGTGTCTACCGTAACACGCCCAAATTACAGAGGAACGAGGGAGTACTAAATTCTAAGTACTCATAATAATAATAATAATAATAATAATAAAAAATAAATGGGTGACCTGGATACGAATGATCCCAGACTGAAAATGGGAAGGACTGGACTTGAGGTCCAAAACCACAGAATGGAGGCAGTCGGCGGCCAACGCAGGCGTTGCTGCCATTGGGAAGGTCCGGGTCTCCGTGGTCCCAGCAGAACCATTGCCTCCTTCCATCACCAGCTCTCCATTTTTCTGAACAAAATTAAATTAAATAATACATTAATGTCTATATTATTATTATACATGAATCCACAATATAATTAATAAACAGTAAATATTCTTAATTACCATAGCCACAGAAGCAGCAGCAGCAGCAGCAGAAGAAGAAGAAGAAGAAGAGCATCTGAATTTGATGGAATACAATAATCCCTTATTATTATTATTATTATTATTATTTTTATTATTATTGTGTAAGAAACGAATAATGCAACAGTTAGCAGCAGCAGCAGCCATTATAGGTATTGAATGAATTGCTAAGTTAATATTCTCAACTCTGTGTGTATATATATATATATATATTTGTAATATGGAAAGAAAAAGAAGAAGAAGAAGAGAAAATGGATCATAGGCTGAATTTATCCTAATTATTGATTTTAATTTAGTAATTTTTATTTAATTAAATAATATCTAAACCAATAGTTTTAATTAAATTGATATTGCTGAATTCTCAAATTTAGCATGCATTGCATATGCATATATATATATAGGGTTTAGAAAGGATAGCCTTGAATTTAATTCACTACTAATAATAGACTATACAAATACTTACACAATAGCCACTCTCTCTGACTATAGCTTAACATTATTTGCATCATCCATTTTTTAATATTTTGCTTCTTCCCTACTATTTATGTCTAATTATTTTTTACTTTTACTCCCTCCAATTAAAAAAAAATAATAATAATAAAAAAAAAAACCTCAGTATAAGTTGGATATGAACTTTATTGAGTATAACAAATATATATTAGTCGATTATAACATAAATGAGAGGTATTTACAAGTATATGTGCCGGTTAGAGAAAATTTTAAATAAATTGAATATATAAATTGTTGTAGTGTATTTGTATATAAATAAAATACTCCCTTTCGTCCCGCAAGAAAGTTGTCATTTAGTTTTTGCGTCATTGTACTTAACAGTAAAAATATTCTTATATTTGAATAATTTATTCGACAAATATCATTGTATATGTATTATAAGAGACTAATAAATATATTTTTGTTTTCTTTTATTGATTTGTATTAAGTATTGATATCATAATTAATATTTAAAGATCAACACATAGAAAACCAATGACAACCTTCTTGCGGGATGGAGGGAGTATTAAATAGTATAAATTAAAAGTATGCAAAAGTTTTTTTTTCTACAAATGGAAAATATTAAATGTGTGTTTGTTTGGGGGTTTGGATTTTGAGTTGAGATTTGAATGGTAAAATTTGAATAGTTGTATGATGTGATATAAATAGGTGTTGACGTGCTGTTTTGAATGTAAAATTGATTTTTAGTATAATATAAAAAATGAAAAGTATGTGTTTGATTTGATTTTTTGGGAGAAAAAATGGGATGAATAGTGTATATAAAATCCAATTCCCCAAACAAACACACTATTTTAAATACACTATTCATCCAATTTTTTCAAAAAAAAAAAATCAAATCAAACACTTATTTTTCATTTTTATATTATACTAAAAGTCAATTTTACATTCAAAACATCACGTCAACACCTATTTATATCACATCATACAACTATTCAAATCTCAACTCAAAATCCAAACTCCAAACAAACACACCCTAAGTTTGTTAGTTTTTTATTTTATTTTATTTTATATATATACCTATTTTTTGTTAAAAATAAAATTAATTTAAAATGGATAAACGCAGAAACGTGTATGCAAATAATAAAAAGTTGTAACAAAAATTGGGATGTGTCAAATTACAAATAATAATCCCTCCGTCCCAGAAAATATAAGATTATTACTATACATACGAGAATTTAGGTAAAGTATAATTAGTAAATAATTAAAAAGTGTATTACTAAAAATAATTATTATTTAGTAAAAATAATTATAGATTAAGATTAAGATAAGTAAATAGTCTAGTTAAAATTAAAAAAATTATAAAATTTAAAATTTAAAATGCGATTAAAGTGCATAATTATATTTCCAAAAATAAAAAGGACAAATTATGCTGAACGGACGAAAATAAAAAATAAGGACAAATTATGTAGGACGGACGAAGTAGTAAGATATTTATGACGGAAGAATGATCATTAAAAAAAAAAGGAAGGATTATTATATTTGTCTCGTGCATGCATGAATCTATTTTTGTTTTTTGTTTTTTTTTTAATTATTATTTAGGTTGCAATTTGACAATATATATCCATGCCAAGTAACTTCTTATTGATTTATGTCGCCTTTTAAGCATAAATTAATATTTTTTATATAATTGAAGTTAGAGGTTCTTAGCTAGCCATCGTTGTGTATTTTGATTCCACAAATTTTAGTGATTCCTACGTCTACATAAACATGCTCAATGATATTCAAATAATATATATATATATATATATAATGAAATTGAAATAGTTAATTGTGCAATTGCAATTCCTGAAGTTAAAATTAAAATTCAATTTCAATTGTTTTAAAGTATATTTATGAATTGACAAATTTGTCCTTAATTGTATGGTAGAGATTGTTGAGATATTTTAGATATTCGATTTTAGATTTAGTAGATTTATATTTAGATTTGATTTTATTCATAGATGACATTACTTAGTTTATGGAGTCTGTTTTGTATGATCTATATATATATAGGCTTTTTATTTTGATGATTAATAAGACAATTTCATTATTTTCCCCCAAAATTTCTAACAGAAAATAATAAATGAATGAAGGGTAAAAATGTAAAATTTATGTTTAAAAAATGAAATAGGACAATAGTTGATGGACGTCCCAAATAGGAAAATAGGAGATTAGTTTGTGGACGGAAAATATTTTGTACTCATTTATATTTATATAAAAAATACTCCTTTGATTTTTGGTTATCAATTGAAGTATTAGTTGGATGCAATTAATTGTTCAATTAGTGTTTTGGATAAATTTATTTTTTATATTAAGTATGATAATCGTGTCAATAATATAAAAAAATATAATATTTTATATTAAATTTTTGAATTTTTATAAGTGAATAAAATATATATATTATGTTAGAATATGAATATATTGTATTTTTTATAATATTTATAGAAAATCGTACCACAAAAATATTGGATGAACAAACCAAAATTTTGTTAAAAAAAATAATACTCTCTCAATATGGAAACAATATATCTATTTTTCTAGATATTTTGATCAATCTGAAATCAATATATAATAAGACCATCCGCAATGGAGACCACTACTTTTTTCTATTCACGTCACTTTCTCTCTCTGCCACATCAGCGGAGATACTCTCTTCTATTTTATAACATAATCAAGATACTCATCCTAATTTTTTAATAAATATTTATTTTTCATATTATATATATTAATTTTAAATTATAATTTTAATTTGTAGTATTAATTATTTCTTTAATTAAATATAGTTTTAATTGGTTTAAAATTTATAATTATATTTTATTTAATAAATTAAATTAAATTTACTAATATGGATTTGTTCAATAGAATTATATAATATTTGTATTTATATATTTTAAATTTCAAATTGATAAAATATATTCAATATTGTTATCATTTTGTAGAATACAAAATATTATGAATTATAAAAATACTATAAAATTTAAATATAACAATAAATTCAATATAAATTAAAAAACAAAACATATATAATATATATTATATATACATATATATATATACATACCTAAGTGCCATATGTCCAAATTAAATTGGGACACACAGCACTAGAATCACATCTTCCCAACATCTCTAAACGGTTCTCTTATTTATTTATTTATTAAATGATGATGTGACGCATCTCTTCCGTTCCAATTGCGGATGGTCTAATAAATTGTATTCCTCACATAACTTTTAAAAAAATCTTATAATTTATATTTTTTAATTAACAATACTGTTTTTTCTTTTTTTCCTAGTAATAAAAAATTGTGTTCTCATATTTATATTACTAGACTATCCCTGTCCAATGCACAGGTGATGTTTATTTATTTATTTGTATATCCTAATATATTTAAAAATATAAAATATATAATAATAAACATTACTCTTGCTGAAAAATATAATTATAAATATATCAAAAGAACATCAAATGTAATTTCAAATTTTCATTTAAAACATTATATTTAACAATTATTTTATTTCAAAAGAATCAAAATGAAAAAACAACTAAAAAAATCACAACTAAACAAATCCAAAAAAAAAAAAAAATGACATCTAAAGGTTGTTACATCAAAGTTAATCACTTTAAGGATCTAATAAATCAAAACATATGTTCACTACAAAAAATAAAAAATAAAAATTACTCCTGAATTATTTTTTATAGTAATATGTGTGCATTACTAATGCAATTATTCACGAAAATAATTCTGTAAGTAATTCGAGACGAAATTACTTACAAAATATGTCGCGTGAGTAATTAGGAATAAAATTACAAACATAATTATTCCGTCAGTAATACATATGGAATTGCTCATTAAATACATTTCCTTGAATATTTTACTCACAAAATATAATTACGTAAGTAATTAACTATGGAATTACTCAAGAATTATTTAATATATTTTTTATAAACTTAATTTTATTTAAAAATAATTAATTTTAATTTTAATTTACTTAGATATATATTTATTACTTATTTTTCGCGTAAAAATTATTAAATAATAATAATTAATTAAATATTAATGAATAAAAAATAATTAAAATAATAAATTTAAATTAAATATTAATTATAAAAAATATTAGTGTAATTAAATAAAATATAAATAATTAATAAATATTTATTTTTGTTAATATTAATATTATTTTAATTTTACAAAAAAGTAATACTATAATAATAATAATAATTTGTTTTTGCCCTAATTAATACTAGTACAATAATTTAAACGACCTCTTCTCCAATTTTCTCATTTTCTCTTTTATCTTTTTTATCCTAATCAATACTATAAAAATTTATAAAGTTTGAACCGGAACTAGCGGTTTGAAACCAACGCAATGCGCGCGCCGCTTCGTAACTGATCGAGCAATCTAACCCTATCCTGTTCTCATTCTCCGGATGACACAACTTTCACGCGAGACGGCCACTGTTGATTTTGAATATTTGACAGCGACGGTCGAGGATGACGGCGGCGGCAAGATTTTCTAGATTATTTATTTATTTACTTTTCTGAATTCGTGTAATGTGGATTATGTTTGTAAAAATGATCAGATGATGGATTCAGAATGTGAGGTTCAATAGGCGAGTGATTGTTTGTTGATTCCGGTAAAAATAGGTACGGTCTGAAAAATTTATGCTCGGA